CCTAGTCATAACAAAATGAGGTAGCTCAATGTGTGTGTATGTTGTATGCATGATGTGTAACTAAAACATCCATTCAGATATAATTCTTACACAAGATTAATACAAAAAATAACTGGTGTCAAGGTGTACCCTTCTCAGAGTCAACATTATCTTCTAACCTTGAAGCAGAGCACACAGGAGCAGACTTTGAATCTTACTAAACTGCATTACTAACACACAGTCTAATAATTATCTGACTGATTTATTAATTTCTAACACCTCCCAAGTCCGCAAGGATTCCACACATTTTTATATACAGAGCTCATCAGTCTCCACCGTTAACTACCGTACATAAAATGAGTGTTTGTTTTTTTCTCGTTCTCAACACTTTACTACAATCAGCATTATGAGCACTGTGTGGATTTAGTGGGTGAATGGACAAGGCCTTTTGACCATGTGGAGAGTAGAAGCGTCACATTTCTGCAATTGTGCTGTTGTGTTCAGCTTGTTCATCAGGTGTTTGATTAATTACCCTCTCCACTGAACCACTGAAATTTCTTCTCCACCACCTCAGCCAGCGCGAGATTAATGTAATGCTGCTGTTAAGTGGTATCACTGCGTAGTATTGGACAATTTTTAACAAGTACGAGTACAAGTAGGGAGGGCTGAAGTGTATCCCTGCTCACATGGGGTGAGAGGTGGGCTACACCCTGGACAGATTGCTAGTCTGTCCCACAGCTAAAACATGTAGGCAGACAGTCATACTCATTCACACCTAGGCAATTACCTAGATCATGATATTCAGTGTTCAGACACTAGGCAGTGCAGGAGTGTTAGAATGGGGCTGGTGGATACTAGGGATAGGCAATATGGTGAAAAAAATATCAAAATATTGAGGGGAATTTAACAAGACTGATATTTTTGACTTTATGTACATTGAATTACAGCATGTTTCAGAGGAGCACAGCTCTGTAACTGATCAGTGTCAGATACTTTTAGTTTGCTGCTCACTCTGAAACCTTAATAACTTGTACCCTCAGAGAGGCAGAACATGTGGTCAGAAAGGTAATCAGGTCTTCACTGCAGATGAAGGGTGGGGTTCGGGCTTCGGTCCTGACGTCATATGAGCTCTCCTAATGCCATGTGGGATTGGACATGTCTGTTCTTGTCAGGTAACATCTATAGAGCCTGACTGGTATAGAAGAGCAACACTACAGCTTTATCATGCTGAGGTAACAGAACACAGATTACAGTAAATGCAGAATCGGACTTTGATCACCTTTATTTTGGATCACCTTGGGACATTCCTCCTAGAGAGCAATAGTCAGTTTTGGCAAGGGCCTATGTTATAACTTCCTGACATCTTTCAGGGTCATAGAGGAGGAGCTGAAAGACATGCCGACAGCGGATGTCCCACCCCTCACTCCAGTAGTAAAGACGGAAATAAAGAATGAGCAGGAGCAGAAGATGGTGACACAGCTAGGCAAAATGATCCGCATCATTGGCGACCGAGTGCGGGACGACAAGGAGTTCCAAGAGTGAGTTCCTCACCCACTTTATCTCAGAGCTCATGGTAGAAAACTGAAAAAGTATTTTTTTTTTTCCCCAACCAAAGGTTTTTAACCTGAAACCATCCCTTCCTTAATCTCTCTGTTGCAGTGCAATTGATGGGGTGGCTCAAGGCCCTGGCTCCAAGTGGGACAAGCTTAAGCAAGTGGCAGACAAAGTGTTTGAACATGGGATAACCTGGGAGAGGATTGCCGTTCTCATCTATGTTGCTGGCAAGCTGGCTGTCAGGGTGGGTTAGCTTGCTTTTTCTGCAGATCCAAATGAGCCTTCAGAACTAAAGTGGTACTCATTGTGATCCTCTGTGTCTTGAGTTTTACACAACACATGCTGCAATGTGAACTGTCTACAACTACTTATAGACGTCAGGATAATGAAAAATGCCCCCTAAACAAAAACTGATGATTACCTGTCCGGCATACGGCCACCATGGCGTCCCTTTGCATCCCCTTTTGTTCTCTCAATTGTTGCCATTATTCAAAAGCCACACTGATGCTAATTCTGGTTTTACGTCTTGCAGCACCCAACTTCTTCTTAGTTGTCACTTTTTCGAGTATGGTCTCCATTTGCAACCCGAAAGCTGTACCTTCTCTGCCATAGCTTGCTAGCTGTTTCTATAAAAACAGAGCAGTACCATGTCAGCCTGCAACTGCAACGCCTTATGGGAGACTCTTGGCACAGGCAGAATGCATGCAAGTAGGAAGTTAGGTTGACAGGCAGGTAGGCCATTCATTGGTTTTGCTCGGACCAAGTAAAATTACAGGCCAGGCTTTTTTTCAGCCCTGCTGCTGTCACATGATGGATTTTTTTCTTTATGTTGTCAGGGCATTTAATGTATTCACTGGATGAAAAGAGAATTTCATGGAATCTAAAAAAAAATCTTATGAAATGAATCGCTCCAAGATCATCTCTCATTTAAAGTGTGGGCACTGTTGTGACTAGCTTTACCATGAGAAAGGATGTTTGTATAACCATCAGTCTTTTGTCTGTCAGCTGCAGAAGATGTCAGTACTCAGGCCAGCTACCTTGTTTATTTAGAGGTTTCTTCAGAATATGTCAAACAGTGACATTATAACTATAACCAGACATCTATTTAATCATTTTAAAGAGTAAAACTAAAAAGATGTTTTAGTAAAGTGTAAAATTTCAAAATTTACAAAGGTCATACATTTAGAAATACAGAAACACAGAATGTCCCTAAGAGAATTTATGGTGTAGTATAGAGAAGTAATTAAGAAAAAGAAAATTATAGTTACAGAAATTGTAACAGAATTTCCAGAAAATTGGGAAAGAAAATGTTATTTAATGTGGCTTTGATGGTGATAAACAGTGGTGCCACTTATCTTCCAGTTAGTACCTTTAAAGCATGTAGAAGAAGACATGACAGTGTGACGCTTTTAAAAATCAAGCTTCAAAAGAAGATAAACCATGTTGAGAGCACTTTGTCAGTTTGATTATGTTTCATGTATTAATGTGAGGAAGGTTACAGTCTCCTGGTCACTCCACACAGATCACATGTGTTTGTCTCTTTGCTGGAAGTGATATTTAAGTTGTATGATTCCTTATTCATCAGGTCTGCTTCCATTGCACTTTGTCAGACCGTGCTTATCCATCTGAGCCATGAGGAAAGGTTTGGCAGCAGCGTCACTTTGCATATAATCTTTGTATTTGTGTGTCCATCAGATGGTGGAGGCTCATCTCCCTCAGTTAGTGAGGGACATCCTGACGTGGACTGTGGACTTTTTCAGAAACAATCTCCTGAGCTGGATTCGGGAACATGGCGGATGGGTATGTTAGGCCTTTATTTATTCCACCATCTGTCTTTCTTTCTTTCAAAGCAGAAGGGAGTCAAAAGAGCATAAGACATTAAAACAATCAAATGCATGATTAAATCAAATAATGAACTGCTTAAAATATTCCAGTCAAAAGCCAGGATAAAGATGTGTTCTGATGGCTTGTAGCTTAAACACTAAAATGGCCTCAGCAAAAGCTTTTGCCATTCACTTTGGACTCATACTGTACACTGGAAGCCTGTCAGACAAGTACGCTGCTTAAAGACAAGGAAAAGAAATTTTAAATCAGCTCTTGACAGTGTGGCTACAAACAGAGAGATCATTCTGATTCCCTGTGGCCAAACTTGCGACGTGTTCATCCGCTATAGATAATGCAGCAAATGCCGGTACTCCTCCTCTTTACATATACATACAGAGAGAGAGAGAGAGAGAGAGATTGAAGATTTACCTAAGTGGAGTAAGAAGTTGCACACCACACTTTTCAGATTTTTATTTGTAAAAAATCTTGAACACCACGTATCATTTTCCTTCCACTTCACAATTATGCGATACTTTGTGTTGGTCTATCACATAAAATCCCAATAAAATACATTTAGGTTTGTGGTTGTAATGTGACAAAATGTGGAAAAATTCAAGGGGTACGAATACTTTTGCAAGGCACTGTATGTGCTTTTCTGCCTCTGTTTTACAATCTGACCACTTTTTTTTTTCTTTTGCCTCACGGCCACCACACTTGTTTCTTACCAGCGTTTCCTCTGTGCATGATCCCTGATCACCAAACAAATCGCGTTTTCTTTTCTCTTCCTCTCCAATATGTCTGTTTCACACTGAAATTGCGCTTCTTCTTTAGCACTTCTTTTGCTTTCATTGTTATGTCTAAAAACTTCAAGCAGTGTTTTTCAGTGCAAGTAATAGATTAATGGTCAGTCTACATCTATTTATGGCTAAAGGTGGGAGTGGGAAAGAAGCTTCTGCATGTGTGCACAGCATCCAAAATTAACACTTGCTAGGTGCCAAATGCAGGTAGATTTTCCATTTGGTGAGTAAATTTCGGAAGACTACACGTCACATTGGTGGCTAAATGTTTGTAGAAGAAAGGCTACTCATAATAAAATAGTATCCTAGGAGTCTGTGTTTCTGTTTGTGTAGGAGTTTGAGACACACATGCTTCCTACTCTGCTGCAGTTCAAATTTCTGAGCCAAGCATACACCTGCCGAAAAATGAGTCGTGTTGTCAGCTGAAGTGCAAGTTCTTGCATTTTGTATCAGGGACTTTGTGGTAGAAATGCAGCTTAAGTTGCTATACTGTGGTTTCCTGATTCCTGTAACTGTTTCATGTGTGTATGTCTACAGATCAACAGTTTCTCAGAGTTGGCAACGGCATCCATGAGGAGCATGTCATGCATGAGCTCTCATTACTCTGGCCTCTTTGTCATCTTTGTTGCCGGCCTGGCTCTGGGAAGCTTGATCACCTGGAGAATGACCAGATGCCCCTGAACCGTACACACACACACACACCATGATATTATTTTACCTGACTATAAAATGTTAACTAGAAGGTTTATTATTCCATGTTGAGTAAATTGCCCACATACTCTTCTGTGGGCCCGTACTGTATGAACACTGAAATGTGTTAATGTGCATTCAGCCAAAGTGATGGGGGAAAGATTTGAACAGTAAAGTCTGTTTACAAACATGTACTGTCATGAAATTAGAGGTACAATATATACACATACACTGTTTAATGATGTGTGGCAGTGTGCTTAGCAATATATTGTCATTTTTATTCATTGTTTTTTTTTTTTTCTTTAGTTAAAACCCCATTACTTTTAGTCCATGGAGATTGGTGGTGTTAGATGATGAACTGGGGTGTAAACACAAATTCTTGGCAAGAACCTCTGTCAGAGGTTTTATAATTTATTTGCACAAATGATAATGTTGTTGATCATACAAGATGACCATGATGTGAGTTTCTGAATCAAGAGTTTCTGCTGGGTTAATGCCCCTTTCTAATACTTGGAAGTAGAAACTGTACATGTGGCTTTGACCAGCTGATGCCTTTTGCCTTGTGGGCATAAAAATGATCACTTTTCACCAAAGATGGAGACAGAAAAAAACCCAGGGTAGTCAGCAATTAACACATGATCTTAATTGTTCCATTTTTTTTTGTCTTTCTTTATAACAGTTAAATGCAATAACAGAGCTTGTCTGTCCTGCAACATTCCATCACTGCTGTTTTGATTTCATGCAGTAATTCAAAGTTAATGTACAGCTGGGTTATAGTTTAAAAACAGTGACTGTGCATTAGACAGACACATTATTTTGCTTTGTTTTTATAGATCTATCCACGTTGTTGCAGAAAAAGTCAGTACAGGAAAACAAACCCAATCAGAACCCAGACCTTAACATTACAGAGGTGCTGTGGAGTGAGCTGAAAGTGTCTGAGCTGAAGCAGCTCTGAGAGGAAGAACCATCCAAAGGTCCTCTTGAATGTTGTGCAGGTCTGATTCACAGCTACAGGAAGCACTTGTTTGTTGTCATTTTGTTTGTACTTGTGACTTAGATGAAGATCAGATCACTTTTTATGACCAATTCATGCAGAAAAGCAGGTCAGTCTTTTCCCTTGCTACTTTTGTTTGTCCACCAGAGAGATATGACAAAAAAAGATGAACCAACAATAAAATGATCTACTCAGTACATATCTTGGTCAGAGTCACATTTTTAGTTTTTGTTGCTAAGTGTTTTTGTCAAATAACCACAGACTAAATACTGAACAAATGTTAAGCTTATGTATCTTTTCTTTTTTTTTAGTTTATTTATAATTCATCACAGAATAGGTCTCTGTATCTCATTACTATAGTTGCCACAGTTTATTTTATTTTCATGGGGGAGAGACAACAGGAGAGCCAGTTTTACACTAAAATACCAAAAAGTATGCAGTTCTGGCTGTGTAACCTGGAAATGGCGCACCAGTTACTTGACTTGAAACTGGAAACTTGGTTGCATATTAAACACCCAGGGTTGAATCTGTGGAGGACAAAAAAAAAAACTGGCCCAGAGATTGTCGAGCCACCTAAGAAAGGAATAAGTAATAAGCTCATTGACACCTCAGTGCAGAAATCTGGAATACCAGATTTTTCTGGATTCTTGGAGAACACAAGCATGATCCAGCATCAAATTCATTTAGCGAAGAGGAAAAAAGAGATTTGCATGTGGTGTTTTTAGATGTAGCCTTTGGTTCTGTACCACACAGCCTACTGTGGAAGCATTAGCTTATTTTAAAGTACCATACTTAGTTAAAGGGCTTGTGAGAGAATATTTTCAGGGTATCCAGATATGTTTCACAACAGCAGAGTGTACTACAGCTTGGCAGCAACTGGAGATACAGTAGGTGTCATGGCAGTATGCACAATCTCACCTAGTGTTTACCATGGCAATGGAGGTTATTAATAGGGCATGTACTGTAGATGGTTTGCAGGAGGAGCGAGGCTTCTGTCAGTGCAACAGTTACCAGCGCATAAGAGCATAAATGGATGATATGATATCTGTCACCAAAAGGCTATTGGACAAGCTGCATGCTAACTTAAATTGGGCTAGAATTAAAAGGTGAAGCCAGAGAAATCAAGGAGCATATCAACAGTGAAAAGTGTGTTGTTGGATAAAAGGTTTTATATAAATGATGAGCCAATTCCAACAGTGTTAGAGAAGCCACTCAAAAGTTTAGGTAGGTGGTATGATGCAGCTCTTAGTGATAAAGAGAAGATTCGGGGCTTGAGACAGCAGGCAGTTGATGGGATTAAGAACGCAGAGATGTCAGGCCTCTCAGGCAAACTGAAACTGTGATACCCACAGTTTGTGATTTTGCCACGATTGTTATGGCCACTGACTGTGCATGATGTACCATTTTCTACGGTAGAGAAGCTAGAGAGAATGTTTAGCACATACAGTACATTAGGAAGTGGCTGGGAACTCTGCACTGCCTCAGCAGTGTGGCCCTGTAAGGAAAAGGGATTTTGGAGCTCCCTATAACCAGTTTAAGAGAGGAGTTTAAATGCACTAAGGCTAGACTGGAGATAACGCTGTCAGAATCCAGGGATGTAGCGGAGCAGAGTGCAGTACCAACAGTCTCAGCGGGGAGGAAGTGGAATCCAAAGGAGGCAGTTTTACAGGCTCAGGCAGCTCTGGGATATTGTAGGGCAGGTACAGCATGGTCATGTAGGTTTTGGTTTAGGCACATCACAACTTTATTGAAGCAGCAGCTTCAGTGACCTGGGCCCAACTCAACGAAACACCAGTTAGTGAGAGGATGCCCACCTGATGACCCTGTAAACTTGCCTTCACTCCAACACCTGCTCAGAACTTGTTAGTGATAATATAGTTAGACTCATCGGAATTGTTAATAGTCTTCTTTTGTTAGACAGTCTTGGTAGAACAGGGTCAGTGGCTGGACAACTGAGCAGACCTGGCTCTCAGAGGTCACTGCCATTACAAGCCAGCTGGCCAGTCACTGCTTAACCTGAGCAAATAAAATGCAGATGCTGTGAGTGCACGCATGATCGTGATTGCCTGCTCAAATTCTTCTTCTGTTCTTACAAATTCATGCCCATAACTCTCAAATGTTGACTTGCAGACTGACTAGCCCTCTGAATTTGTTTTGTGATCTCTCAAGTCATTTCTTGTCAACATACTTCCATAGAACACTGGACTTATGTGTGAGTGATTCCAATAGTCTGTTTGTGATTTATTTATTAGTCCCTCAGCACTGACCTGCCCTCTTTCCTGCTCATTTATTATGGCTGCGCAGTAGAAAAAGCACCGAGTGCGGCATCCCATACCATATGCTTGTCTCAGGTGATGTAACATGCCCTCTGGCAGCCATCTTGGAAATCAATAGCTCTTGACGGCATCAGCTGTGAATGGCTGGTTGCATTTCTTGTAACTTGACTCTCTCAGCATGACATAAATAATCATTAGGACATCTTTAACTGTTATCATTATCACACTGACAGTGAACACATCAGCAACATGCTGATAAGTCCAGCACTAGCAACATAAGGTCATTTTTCTAACTTAAAGTTGTTTGAATTAAAATGAGTTGAATGAATGTACAGCTGTGTTCACTCAACTCGTCAAGTAAATATTTAAAATATAGTGTACAGCATGTTATTATAACACCCCCCACCCCCCAAAAATAAATTTGAGTTCTGACTTGTCCTCAGAATTCTGACTTTACATCTGTCTTATTAAAAAGTCAGGCTGCAGTACTTTCCAGACTCCTGTAGTGCTCTGCAGTTCTATTTTTGACCCTTAGATGTCCCTGTACACCACACTGCAGTATAGCATTAATGACCAGATGCAGAAACTGCACTGCACTTTTTCTAACAACTGTGCAGTTATATTCCCTTGTTCCTCCTTGTGTCATTATTTTATTTCAGCTGTTGTTATAAGAATAGTTCAACATCTTGGGAAATACAGTTATTCCCCTTTTTATGAAAGCAGCTGGTTTGGCTTTGTCCGTAATGGGGGGAATACACCTATCAAAAACTTTATAGCTCACTAATTATCATGTAACTTGCTTTTTAAAATCTGTACCAAAGCAAAAATGTTGAAAAGCCAACAGACTATCCAGGTTTCCTGCTCACATATGCAGTTCATAATAATTTAAGAGAATTTCCATTCACCTGTTTGTGTGTGTATTTTCAGTTTGGGCATATATAAACTGAGTGGAAATATTGCAAATTCAATAAATAAGGTTCAAATAGCACAGCTTTTATACTTAGTGCTCCAATAAAAACAAAATGTGGCAACAGGCTTAACAAATAAAAGCATGTTTGAAGCATGAGACTTAAATATCCACTGAAACCGCTGCTCAACTGGAGAGAGAAAAAGTTGTTGCAGAGGAAAACGTGGTGCCACAAACTCTTTACATTACTGAGTACAGCCGCTAATATTCACATAATAGTGGAAGGAAATATAGTAATCAGCTTTTTTCTGCAGACTTTCTGGAGATGTGGTTGAAATGTGCATCATTTTAGATTGAAATGTGATTACTGATAGTGTCTGCAGCTGTTTTGTCATTTTTGAAACAATGAGTTATTTCATAAAGAAGTTGACAAAAAGCAGTTTCTCATTTCTAGCCGTGATCCTCAGCCCACCCTGTACTTTGGGAAATCAGGAAGTGATGCAGTAGCAGAAATGAATAAAGAAAAGGGTCTTTTGAATGGCAAGTTCAGCATCAAAGCTGCCAGCTGGTTCTCTCAACAAAACCAAAGTTATTCTCATTTACTGTGGATGTGAATTGAGTTACCGTTGGAGTGCTTCGAGTCTCAGATACCACGTGCTGGCCAAGTACACAGTTGATGCAGAGAGCCCTCCTCTCCCTTGCCAAAGGCAGACCAGGCTAGTTTGCAATGGACACACCTGGACAACTCTACAAGCAACAAACCTTCAACAGTAATAGCTAAATGGGCGGCCACAGTTTGCAGGCTGATTAACACTGTGGAGGATGAGGGTCTGCTTGAAATAATTTGCATTGCATCCGGTGACTGCACATATGAATTGCCGTGGAGCGCCACCACTGTAGCCAAGATACACAACTTGTATGAAGATGAGAAAGCTAAAGTGGAGGAGGTGTTGGGACAGACGAACACAGTTGCACTCACCGGAGACTACTGGACTTCTCTCAGTAATCGCATTTACCTTGGGGTTCCTTTAAGACACATTTAGAACCAGTGGTGGAAGAAGTACTCCTACCCTTTACTTAAGTAACTATACAACAATGTAAAAATACTGTTAGAATTACAAATTCTTCATTCATAATGTTAACTAAAAGTACCATAGTATTAGCAGCAAACCATACTTGGTAAAAGTAGTCATGCAGAATAGCACATTTCACATTCCTTTGTTATATTATTGTATTATTATTGTGTACATAGCATTTAATGTTGCAGCTGAGAAAGGGGGAGCTAGTTTTAACTAGCTCATATGCATTTAATTTGAGTTACTGCTGGATAGCTTGTGAATTTTTCCACCACAGATCACTGATGTCTTGTAATTACTGTTTTTGTTTGTGTTAATCTGGTTCTGAAAAGAAACATTTAACTAAAGTTCTAAAATAAATGTTGTAGAGTAAAAAGTACAATATTTGCCTTTAAAATGTAGCTAATTCAAAGTATGAAGTACTAGAAAATGAAAATACTCAAGCACAGAGCCCTCAATATTGTACTTAAGTACAGTACTTGAGTAAATGTACTTAGTTACTTTCTACCACTGTTTAGAACTGATTTTTTTTAAGTGATTAATTGTGAGTTAATGATGGATAATCATGTAATTAAATTGATTGACAGCACTAATAAAAATAGAATACTGCTGCAAACTCCTAATATGCACTCTAATAACCAGGGAAAGTCTGTTTAGATGATGAAGAAAGGAGTGTTTGCGCTACATTCATTTTTTTCCCTTGCAGCAGTGATATTCACATTTGGGTGGTGATGTTTCAAATGAGTTAGCATGTTTTACATATTGCCAAAAAATACCTAAACACCACTGAACAAATATTAAGTGGCAGATCAGATTACAATAAACAAATGAGATGTCTTTGTCCATTGTTGTATTTCACCAGGAAGCTGAACTGTTCACAAACAGGAGACCTTACTGATAAGGGAGGGTTTTCTATCCCTGCCTTCTCATTTGTATTGGCCAGGATGTTTGCTAGC